ATCTATGAGGAAATTTATTTAGTGCTTTATATGTTAGAAGGAGGATTTTAAATTCTATTCTGTATTTAACAGAAGGCCCGTGAAGAGAATCTAGGATAAGGGAAATAGTTTTTTTCGCGATGGACCTGCTGATAGCAAAAAATTCCAATAGAACAGCCTTGCAGCATCATTCTTTGAAAAGATAATTTGAGTTTTTCAGGATGATTTAAAGAAACCATAAAATCATGAAATCTTCTATTGAAGTTACTTTAATCAGTTTGGGTGATCAGATAGATTTGGGTCTATCTGATCAAGCAGGATGTTTATTAAAACAAAACTGAACTGAAGTGCAGACCACAGCAGCTACAGGGGGGCGTGGTGCAACCCAGCTCTGAGTCTCTAGAGGGAGAAACACAGATAAGTGACCACGATTATCTGACAGGAGACGATAATCTCAGTGAGTCACTTACCTGGTTTCACAGACAGTCCATCTCCTTAGAAAGAGGCGCAGCGTGCATTGCCCAGAGTGTCCTTGATGCTGCAGCCCCGGAGAACTTGCAGGGAGCCAATCCAAAGTCGGGGAAAGATGGAGCAGGAACAGTTCAGGAATCGAGTCAATGAGTCGATGCAATCAACTGGTTTTCCTTAGTTAGAAAACTTGAATCAGTTTGACTGGATGATCTGGTGAACTGTAGAGTGCCTGGAGATGATAGGTTTTGTGAATTGGCGCTATAGAAATAAACTGAATTGAATTGAATCCTCCGCTCTATCAGAGGTTCTGACCCACACCAGAACAGAGGGATCCTGGCTCCCAGGAATCCTCAGAGCATGAAGGCAGGTTCAGAGTCAGACGGGTCCAGAAGCGTGCCCAGACAGACACGCACAGATGCAGACAGGCAGAATCCAGCAGGAGTCCAAGAATGGTTCAGACGAACAGATCAGACAGGGACAGAGAGGGTGAGAGGGAACGGAATCAGGAAATCAGAATCACTAGGAAACGCTGAAATGCTCTCATCACTGGCAAAGGAATAAACTCACCTGGAGACAAGGGCTGAAGAATAATCTACTGGAATGGGGACACAAACCTTGGAAATAACTAAAACTGACAAAACTGACAGACAGGACAGAAATCAAACAGGGAACATAATATATAAAGGAACAGACACAGGTGGATGAGATGAGTGATAATTAGAGACCGGGCAGAGTTAGGCAGGTGAGTGAAATGAACAATTAAGGCCAAATATCAGGGCAGACCATGACAGCCAGTTTGATTAAAATTCCCTAAAATCATCAGCTGCAGCTGTTTGGTCCTCCTCAGGTACTGTACATGTAACTGTCCAGCAGAGGTCACTGTTCCTCTGTTTGTCCTCAGGTGGACACAAAGGTGACATCTCTTAGTGAAGACATGTTCAGCAGACAGATCACCACAGACCTGGTCCTGGAGGACAGCCTGCAGTTCCTGCTGCCTCTGCCCACTCGCCTGTCCCCAGAGACTCACCTGTCTTTAGAAGCCCTGAGGCAGCAGGTGAGTTTGAACCTGAAGTTTTGAAGGGTTTATATCCAGGAGGCTGAGAGCAAGAAGGTCAATGGAATGGAAATTATCAGAATAAATCAGGCAGGAAACGTTTAAACTGTCCGTGTCCTTTAGTACGGTGGCTGCAGAGGGACAAACGGAG